TGTGTATGTGAGGCCCATCGTGGGGGGGAGCTTTTCACAAAGCACAGGCTTGCAGGATGCACAGGGTGTGAGGGCAGCAGCATTTTCTAGTTATGACATCAGTACTCTCCAGTGGAATGCTGCTCATTTTTAAATTGCTGTTGGAAAGGCGTGGGTCTGTCCTCATCCCTGTGTAGAGGGAGAGGCACTGCCACATTGGCCCCTGACCCGCCCACAGGGCTGCCTCCTTGGACCCCGGGGCTGTTCTTAAAGGCAGGTGGCACGAGCCATTCACAGCCTCATTACCATCTAGCTAAATGTCCTGTCCCAGGGCAGTGACTCTGAAATGTGAAATGTCACCACATAACTTGGAAAAGCCATTCCTGAAGGCAGAGAAGATGGCTACCTCCTGGGCCCTGCTCTGAACCGCCGTGGCCTTGGAGCGGATCTTTGCTAGCAGACTAGTAATCTGCACTTGCCCCCCTCCATCCACATTCCCAGCACTAGTCTCCTCTAAGTAGGTAAGTGCCTGGTGCAAGCCAGACCCAGCACTAGCCCTCTCTGTCCTTGAAAGTCTGGGGAAGGGTCCAGTACCTATACATTGCTCATTAAAGCAAGGTCTAGGGTGGCCTGGCCCTTTCGAGCCCCAGGTACTTAGGACAGAGAAGAGGGTGCCTGATCACACATGCCACCTATGCCACCTATCTCCAGCCATTTGCTCACTTGAGCAAAATACCATGTGGCTGCAACGTTTAGAACTCTCCTGGCCCTAAGCACCAGCCATCTATATACTGGAGATAAGCCCTCCCATAGGAAAGCTGGGGTCTCCTGGCTATAAAACTTCAGAGGCTGCCTCTCTCTGAATTGGTGGCAAGGGTGTTTGTGTTATGCTCAAGGAGAGACACCACAGAGCCATCTGAATTGGCAGGCTCTTCTGTCCCATCAAGCCTTAGGTGGGAACAGGCTGAGCCTTGACCCCAAGTTTTCTTGCAACATGGGGCTAAGGCTAGGTGGACTTATATCTGTACCACTTAATCCTGTAGTTACTTGCTCACTTTTAGACTCTGCAAACAATGCACTGGTACAAGGAGCAGTTTGTCCGTGACAGTGCAGGTAGGTATGGTGGTGACTTACCATCCCGTCTGCCTTCTAGGGATCTTCACTGCTCCCTACGACGGGCGCTACCTGATCACGGCCACCCTCACCCCTGAGAGAGACACCTATGTAGAAGCGGTCCTGTCTGTTTCCAATGCCAGCGTGGCCCAGCTGCACACTGCGGGGTACAGGAGGGAGTTCCTGGAGTACCACCACCCCCCTGGGGCTGTGCACACTTGTGGGGGCCCAGGCGCATTCCACCTCATTGTGCACTTGAAGGCAGGAGACGGAGTCAACGTTGTGGTGACTGGGGGCAGGTTGGCTCACACAGACTTTGACGAAATGTATTCCACCTTTAGTGGGGTTTTCTTATATCCTTTCCTTGCCCGCCTCTAGGAGGGATGGGAAGAAGGGAGGGAGGGTTGTAAAAACTCCAAAGCCTTAATATATTCAACTTATGTATGTAAATGGAGCACCGGTCTAGTTTTCTGCACCCGCCACTCCACCTCCCCCAGGATGAAGGCCTTACCTCACGGTGAGGCCACTCCCCGTGGTCATGTGATTAACGTGGCCACTCTGAACTGGACAACTGAAAGACTTGGAAAGCCCTCTTGCTGAAACCTGTAGGCCTGCTCTGCTCCTCCCTGGCATCTTCCCAGCCTTCTGCTCTGCATGAGGTCCTGGGCTGGGCCTACCTGGTGCTACCCGTGGAGTCTCACTGCTTCGCCATAGGACTGCGTCTTGCTGCTGATGGAGAGTAAGAGCAGGTGGGATGCCCATCACTCATAGCTGGTTTTCACTGGAAAACAACACTGTAGCCAACTGCCTCTGTACACTGCATGCAGGAGAAAGTTTAAACACTGAAGTGCTGTTGTGGCCCATGCCACTGCCCCAGGACCCTGAGTTTTCAACTTGGGCCATTCTGTGCCTGACTCACCACTGTTGCCTGGGACTCATCCCTGATGTGAAGGGTGATATACCAGAGACTGTTTGGGCTCCTTATATGACATGTGCTATTTAAGTGCAAAGACAGGGAGTATCAATAAAGACAAACCACTTTAAGTTATTTCTGGTGCCTTGTGATTAGAAGTTACTGCTAACATTTAATCATAGAACCAAAATCTCAGCTATAAAATCACTGTCCATAAGCATTCAGGGTATATACACTTACTTGGGTTTTGCTGCTGTGAGGTGCTCTGAGACCAGCTGCCCTGTCCCAATTCCACAGCTGGAGAACGGCTCTTCCAGGGGAGGCCTCAGGTCTTATCAGTAGGTCTGATTTCACTAATGAGACCAAATCCTCATTGTTCCACTACATGGCTCACTGGCAGATACAGCTTTACAAACTCAGGTTCCTAAGCAACAAGAGGCTCAACAAAACACATGGCTGGCTGAAAGCTGAGATGATCTGTGAAGGCAGGCATCTCCCCAGAGCCTCCACACTGTTCTAGGAGGCCCAGGCATGGTAACCCTTCCTGAGCCCCAGAAGCATCGACACAAGGTGGCTTTTGCTAATAATTAAGGTGGGAAAACTGACAGGCAACTTCTCTAGTGCCCCAGGGAAAGGTGTAGATGGGAGAAACAAGTTCTCTTTCTCTTCCTTGGCCTGCATCTGGCTGGGGGAAGAGGATCTCAGCCTGTCTATAAAGAAAACTTCAGAGTAGCCAGTGTCTACTTTTAGCATTCTCAATCCCAGCTGGGGAGAAGCAAGAATTCAAGACTTGCAGATAATGGCAGTATACACTTATAACCCTAGCACTTGGAGGCTGAGACAGGAGAAGTCTGATGGCAGCCTGGGCTTCAGAGACCCTGTCTCAAAAACAGGCAAACTCATTTATGGTTTGCTGTTGTACTTTAAAATTTGGACCACTGTTCAGGAAGAGAACAACACTCTCAGGCCTTGCCTCTACAGTTGGGATTTGGCAAAGGTAGCCATCTGAGTATCCTTGACTGTCCTAGAAATGACTCATGGGAAAAAAGCCAAGCATGGTGTTTTCAGGAAAAGCCAGTTAGCACATGCATGTGGCTCTCACCCTCTTCTCACACAGTTAACAAAAAAGGCGTTAGTGCCAAAGAGGGCACGCTATATAGCTGGAACTGCAAGGAGCAGACAGAAATGTATTTTTACTCCACGACCTGGTCCTCCTTAGTGTTTTGCCTTTGTTGGATACACAGTCAAGATGCACTAAGACTGATGACAGCTGGAGCCTGTGTTCACTACAAGATAAAATGGGAAGGCTAGATCCAGGTCATGTAAGAGTTAAGTTTAGAAATGAAGAGCCTGAGTCTTAAGGACTGCAGGGGCTTTAGAGCAGTCCCTTAACAAGTCAGCACATCCCTGAAGTCTTGAGATCGAGTCAGAGGTACAAACTAAACACTGTGACTTAGGTAACGATTTCTTGAGAGCTAAGTGTGGTGGCACATACTCATAATCCCAGCTACTCAGGAGGCAGAGGCAAGAGCAGCTCAACCTTGAAGGCAAAGTTAGTAAGACCCTACCTTAAAAACAGCTACTCAGGTGGTAGACATTAGGAGGTTCTTGCTTTGAGGCCAGGCCAACAAAATTGATACGGTCCTATTCTCAACCAATAAAAAGTTGGACACGGTGTATGCCTGCCATCCTAGCTACGTGGGAAGTGTACACAGGATCATGATCTAGCTGGTCCAGGGGAAAGCAAGACCCTCTTTGAAAAATAAAAGCAAACAAAAAACAGGGCTGGGGATATGGCTCAAGACAATCTGTTTGGAAGGTACAATGCCTCACATTCAAACCCCAGTACTGCCAAAGGTGTTTTTTGTTTTTGTTTTTAAAGATTTTGGAGACAGGTTCTGGCAATGTTGTCTAGTTCAGCTCAACTCCTGAGTTCAAGTAATTCTGTCTACCCTAGCCTTTCAAGAAGCTGCCATTACAGATGTGCCCTACCATGCTAGGCTGAGGTAACTTCTGACAAGAGTTACTGCTGAGAAAAAGATCAAAGAGTATTTAAGATTAGACAGGGTGAGGACATTTTGCTTCCCACAGGTCACACTAACAATAGACCTAATTTAAACACTTTTTGCAGGTATCCTTTAATAGTTGTTTTTAAAGAACACAAATCAACGGAAGCTCCACTGTAAATCATTTTTAGATTAACACATGACTTAAAGCTTTGCCAGTGACTATCTTCTTTCAGACTATTTGCCATAAATTATTTGAAGCTTGAAAGGAAAACAGTATTTATGGAAATATTTAAGTCTATGCTCTGGAACATGGCTTTGCCCACACCCCCACATCCACTTTCAAAAAATATCTGCTTTCCTTATAACATTTGTGAAGGAAAAAAGGATACATTCAAACTACCCAGGAGTTCAGGCTTTCATAGAAGGACACATAATGGAGTTTGGTTCTTTCAGGCACTTGAAGCTGTTATGAATAAGAACTTCCATCATAACCATACTCCCTGTCTGAGCACTTTTCTAGTTCTTTTCCCATCACCATCATCACAGTGAGGAAGGGTTAAATAAAAAGCTTTCCCGTGCTTCAAATCTTGCTGGGGGCAGGGGGGAAGGGGGGAGGATTTGACCAAAGATCACAGCAATTCTGTACAGTAGAGCTGTTAAGTAGGCAGGTGCTAAGGGAGAAGGACTCTTGGGATGCTGAAGGGCTGATGTAGGCCCAGCCAGACTATAAGAGAAACCACAAGAGAAACCACGTATGTATGAAGGAACCATTTCCTGGCAATACCTACAAAACAATAGAGGTTGAGGTTAGTTCCTGTGGGTGGAGCTTCACTTCTGGAATCAGGTTTTTAAAGTTTAGCAACAAAAATAGATTCCTCTGTAGACAAATTGAATTGTCAGCAAATGTTAATTTATGGAAATTATCAATTTATGGCAAGAGTACAGAGAAGATGGTTTAAATATCCCCTGAAGGAAAGAGCCAAATATATAGTTTATGTTTATTATTGTAACGTTTTGTTTTGAACATCAAACACTGCACCAAAATATGAGCCATTTATTTGAAGACATCTTTACCATGACTAAGATACTGTACTGTTCACAATTTCTGACAACTTAAAACTTATTAGTGACATTGCTGTCTAATAATCAAATACTTCATCAGCTGAACGTAATTATTAAAAGAACAAAGTTTTCCCTTCCCTTTTTTTTTAAACCTTCAAACCAAACCAAAAAGGTAGTTTTCACCTGGAAAAAAATGGTTAACCAGTTTTACAATGAACCCAGCATGCTCTAAAACATGTAGAAACAAGGCTCCCCACAGTAAAGATGAGGATACTAGAAACGCTAAGAAACTGTTCTTACCCACTTGCAAAAGAGAAAGTGTTTATGTTCTTCCTAACCGTTTCTTCTTGTGAAGGCCTGGCTATACCAACTAAGGCAACCACAGAAGGCTGTGCAGCCACAGGAAAGTGGGCTGATCAGAGCAGAAACCCTTTCCAGTCACTTAGCTCTTCTTGGGTTGCTCTTACAATTTTTAGCAGCTTTTGTTTTAAGACATCACATTACTAGGTTTTATTTCCTTTTCCAGTTGAAAACTGCAGATGTGTTCAACAGGGAAGCGTGGTACTGATGATGGGGCTGTTAGCATGTTTGAAATCCACATGTGCACCCCGCACAGCCTGAGAGGGGATGTCAGCTTCCACAGAACACGCTTCAACACATGACAGCAAAGCAAACACTAACGTTAGACTGAACTAGGAGGGAAAGGGCCTATAGAACAACTGACAATATGACATAGAAGAGCCCACTTGCTGCATTGTCCCTGCAACACCACCCGTCACTGAAGACAGTGTGAGGGTGATGCTCTATCTCTATCCTAAGGGTTTGTGTGCAAACACACTTGAGGGCATCTCTCTTTCACAGAAAGAACAAATGTCATTTGTACCAAATGGCAATGGATTTTCAGCACAAACTTAATACTTCCATAACACTACAGCGATAGTAATAATCTACTTTCAGCAAGAAGGACTCCTTTAAACAAGGAAAAAGATTTACATTCATTAGCCTAAGTACCCACTGGATCAACCTGCAGCGACAAAGTCTAGGGTTGATGGACACTGGGACAGAAGGACCACCCGCCCTCCACATGGGCTGGGAGAGCCAATTCCTAAGCTAGATCCTCTGAGAAGGCCTGTGTGTCCAAAGAGCCCGTCAAAGAAAGGAAACAAACTAGTCAAAAACTATTTAAAGGATAACCTAAAAGGGACTAATGGGTGTATGCTAAGATTTTTCTGTACTGCACATTTGCAAGAGGTCCTACTAAGCTCAGGTTAAGCTCACAAAGCTCTTCATTCCCTTAAATCAAAGGCGGTGAGAGGGCATGCTGATGGCATCTATGGATAAGGCAGCCATGTGACTGCTCTACTAGAATCTTAATTGGCCAGAACTTCACACAAACAACTTCAGTTCCCTACCTAACAAAAATAAACTAATTAAACAAGTAATCTTTGTTAACTATATACGGGGAAGGTTCATACCAGAGAAAGCTTGTGCTGTCCTTTTGGGAGCATGCACCTCCAGGGCTTACCCTTAGAATTCTGTTTCCAGGGTTTCAACACTGTCTGCATCTAACTGTACTAGGAAAGTGGCTAAACTTAGGCAGGATGCTCAACTCTCCAATCTGGAAAAACAAGCAACCTTATTTCTTCAACTCTGCATCAGCAGTGTCTTGGGTAAAGCAAACCAAACAAGAAAAGGTCAGCCACACTGCAGAATTGAAAACAAAACCATTCTGTGTTGAGTTGTTATCTGCAGCACCCGTTCAGTTCAGGAACCTTTACTTCCTGCCTTCTCCTCAGAGGAGGACTGACCAGTGGCCTTTTCAGGTCCCCCAAAAGTCTCCTCTTTAACAGTTCTCCTGCTGTTAGTGAGAAAGCTGAAAACATTCGTTGACCACGAATTCTAGAGGGGCTTACAAAAATAAGACCCTCCCCTTGTGCTATCTACTCAAGACGTCTGACGTGAGCTCACTACAACCAGGCCAGTAAACAAAGCTGTTTTTCTCTTAATGTCCCCATGTCCCATTAGGTTTCATACGGCAGCTTCTGACTGCTGAGCATACAAGTGTCCCAGCTGGTAAGATTCAGACTAATGGGTTGGAGACACTGATGACCTACTGGCTGCTCAATGACCCCCTTCTCTAGCATGGTTTCCATGGAGTTACTTACAGGGTCATGATTCCAAATGCCAAAGCCCATACTGCATGTCAATGGCTTATAGAAAAGCATCAACTGAGCTTCCTCAACAAATCTGAAGCACAGAAGAGCAGACATCTGTTCCCAAGGATAGTTATAGGCCCACCTAAACTAGACAATAGGCAGAGGGACAGAGAAAAGGGCTATTCCCAGAACCCAATGCAATTGTATATCAATAGTTCTGAGACACAGTTGTTGCTTTTTGTTTGCTTTAAACCCCAACCTCCCACCATTATTCCAGACACCAGACACAGCCTTGAATCAAATATAGACCTGTTCTTCTGGCTAGATCCAAGAAATAATTTAAAGATTTCTCATTGTGAAGTAATCACAGATGAGAAAATAATGACTCAAGGGAATTTCATTTCTGGAAGCCCACATTGAGGCCACTGGCCTGCATGTATCCTGGGGTCTGTCCAACTTTGCACATCAAAGAACCACTCCACCTCAGTGTGCAGGAATGGAGCCCAAAGGAGATGTGCACAAGTGGTGGCCATCACTAACTGGACTTTGGTAATTCAACGGGCCCTGACCCTTTGAAGAAAGCCCTGGTCATAGAAACAATCTCATCTGACTAGTAGAAATTATAACATTTTACTTTGTATACTGTGTTGGTCCATTCTTTTTCAGATTCTTTTTTCTTCAAGTTATGCAGTTGAAGCACTGTCCAGCACACAGCTTGGAGGGCAGCATCAAGGGCCCATGGATGGCAGTGCACAGACCTGTAACTTAGGAGTCCCTCACTTCTCCTGTGAGCTCCGAGCAGTGGTGTCTGGGAAGGTGCAGGAGGACCAGAGTACCAGCTCCAAGCCCCTGTCCTTGCTATGGAACGCAAGTGCCCAGCTGCTAGCTAGCTGCTAGTCTGCAAGAGGGCTGGTCACCTCCTCTGCTGGAGGCACATGACTGTAGCCCTACTTTTGTCAGATGTGCCACACTTCAGGCCAGGTCATCCAGGTCCACGTCAGGGATTGGGTCTCGCCAATAGCAGAAGGAGCTGAACTCTGGGCACGGAAAGGCAGAATTCTGTTCCTTATTGAGAAGTGGGAACACATGTTCCACAAGCTCACTCAGCCTGTGGTACCTAGAAGGGATTGGAGAAAGAGACACCATCTGTGACTCTACAAGTGACATAAAGCACAAGAATGGGTTGTGAGGCAGGCTTTAGATACCCCACAGGCAGGTCTCACTCCTATCCCAGGACACAGACTTGCACATTTAAAAGAACCAGAGATTCCTTAAACAGGTACTCTGGGGGAGAAAACAGCCCAAAGATATGTAGGTATAATCTGCTGGCGCTGATCTCAGCTGTTATCTGCCTGTCCTCAGTTGAGCCTTGGGCTGCAGGGCACTGGCTAAGAAGCGGTACTACACTTACGATGACTTGTTTCCTTTGGTCCTTTCTTGTATTAGTTCACCCTTGGGGTTCACAGTGAATATTCTACAGTCTGGAACTCCAACTTGTGTGTAAGCATAGACATCCTGCAGAGGAAAAGAGAGCAGTCAGGAGAAGTTCCACTGGATCCTTGTGAGCCAGAGGCATTGTACCAACAGAAGACTTTCTATGGAAAATATTTGGCAATGGGCACAGTGCAGTTTTGCTTCTGGAAATTTAACTTCAAACAAACCCAGTGTAAGGAATGGTGCCAAACCCAGAGAGTGCCTAGGGAGTCAGAAAACTTGGGCAGCAACGGAGGAAGGCTATAGGGATCTCTGAGAACATGGTCCTGGAAGCATTACCTTAGCATATCTGTGATGAAGTAGCCTTGCAGAAAGCATGCTGGAAAAAGTTAATAAAAAAAAAAGAGCACTGGCTTTGGGGTGAACCCAAAGTCATGGTTTAAAACGTAAGGCAGAACTGCCTGAGAAAGAAGAACTGAAGCTACAGAAACAAAGAAGCTCCTTCCATATAAAAGTCTGGGGCAGATCTGTATCTATAGGATCTCCTTAACTGCTGTGGGGCTTTGGAACAGATCAAGTGAGAACACACTGAGCAAAGCATCCCCTTCATTTGAAATGGCTTTAGAGTCATGGGAAATACGTCCTAATCTACTGCTTCTCCATAATAATGCTTACATCAGAATCTATCAGGCACTCAGAAGACACTTACATTGGGACGGTTTCCAAAGGCAGCATAGAAGGGCTGCTTGGACGGAGCGAACAGGTTCTTAATGTCATTGAGACATTCAATTTTAAACTTCTCTGGTTTCTTTTCTATTACTTCCCTGAGGGATAAATATACAATATAAGCACTAAATTCAAACAGCATGCATTTTTCAAAAGCTTTTAGTACTCACAGCCATCCATTTTATTAATTTTTTTGCCAGTTGTGGGGCTTCAATTCAGGGCTGGGCACTGTCCCTCAGCTGCTTTTGCTCAACGCTAGTACTCTACCACTTGAGCCACCTCTGGATTTTTCTGTGTATATGGTACTGAGGAATTAAACCCAGGGCTTCATGCACGCTAGACAAACACTCTACCACTAAGCCACATTCCCAGTCCACAGCCACCCACCTTAATGCTTTGGAACTGGCACACTGTTTTTCCTCCTTTTCCAGTCTATGTTATGACTGAGAGATGGGATTTGGGGAAACAGCTTGAGTTAAAGCTCCCCAGCAGTTGGAAACCCAGTAAGAGTCAAGTGTCTGTCCTCACATGTTACACCTTGCCTGGCCCCTATGCACACCGAGGAAGGAACCTAGGGTAACAGCAGGACAGTTACCTGTGGAAGGCAGAGAATAAGCTGCTGGGGGACAGCATCAGAGGGCCCCGGGGTAAGATTGTGCCCTTGTCATTGACCCAGTGCAGGTAGCCACGAGTCATGTCAGCCATGCCGATAGCACGGGCAGAACAATATAAAAACTTGTAGCCATTCCTAAAAACAAAACACAAGAAAACACCATATCCTATTTAGCATACATATTTTGGTCAAACGAAAAAAAATCCCAAAAATCTTCTAATACATCCAAATCATGTTCCTCTCATTTACTATGAAAGCCAAATTCTTGAACTCAGCAAGAAATTACTTAGGATTAAGATTTCATTCCCCATGGGGGAAAAAAAAATGATGGAGGTCCATGCAACTAATGACTGTGCCAAGTTTATACGCAGCATCAAGTCCATGAGAGCAAGATCTAGGACAGAAAATCCTGGACCACCTTTAAGTATCCGCTATAAAGGAGAGACACAGGGATCTTTACAAGGACAATTTGTGGGATGCAAACTACTCTATAATATATAGAACAAAATTACACTTGGGTAACTGACATCCATCATTTCCTATCATGGCATTCTCAACTAATGCTGAAGACAGTGCTACACATTTTCAAATGAATGCAGCTCCTAGGTGTGAGGATCCCAATAAAGGATCCAGTGGTTTTCCCTTGAATGTCCTGAAAGAACTGCATGAGTAATCAACTGTTCTCCATGTATGCGTAACACTTAAAAATGCCAGTAAATAGATCAAAAATGAGTATCAGTTTCTATTTAGTACTAATTATAGAAAAGTGGTTATTGTTAAGACTAAAGGAGTACAACCTCTGTAGTAGGTATAACTAAAACTCACAGCATTACGATATTAACAGATAATGCAGTAAAGCCTGTAACACAATGCTAGGCACAGACCTCATGCTGTTAACAATGACAGAGAAGTACTGTCTGGACTTTAACAAACAAACATTTTATGTGGGCTGATGATTTATATTGGGTTTGAAGTCTGAGCCTCTGCCAAGCTTTTATGCTTCAGTTTGTTTTTCAGATAGGGTCTCTTGCTTTTGCCTGTGGCTGGTCTTAGACTACAATCCTATCTCTGCTTCTTAAGAAGTGACTAGTATTACATGTTTGGGCCAGCATATCTTTGCTAACATTTTGCCTAAGCTGGCTTCAAACCTCAGTCCTACCTTTTTTGCCTCCCAAGTAGCTGAGATTGCAGCCATAGTTCCCAGCCTGACTTCTGGCATTTTTCTATAGATTATTATCAAAACAAAACAGGCTCACTAGAGCAAGATGACACGGGGAAGGGATACTTACTCATTGATAGAGTGGTAGAGTTTTGCTATACCCTGATGAGTCCAGTCTTTACCCAGTTGTGGGAGAATCTGCCCCAAAGCATCAGACCTGAGAAGAAGGTAGAAACAGGAAAAGATACCAGGAATTAAACATAGAAAGCGAAGCATTTCCCATATGTTGAATATCAGTTGTGAATAAGCACTGGGTGGGACAGCAATCAAGGGTACTCTACAAAGCCTATCTCATCATCTCTTCATGTATAGGTAATGCCAGGCAGCCCTGAGAGTACACACCCATTAAGGTACTTCTAGAAGTAGAGTCACTCAAAAGCCAGATGTTGATTTTCAGAGACAGCTTACAACTACATATTCTTGCTTTTTTTTTTTTTTTTTTTTGAGTCCAGTCGTGGGGCCTGAACTCTGGGCCTGGGCGCTGTCCCTCAGATCTTCAGCTCAAGGCTAGCGCTCTACCACTTGAGCCACAGCGCCACTTCCGGCTTTTTTCTTTTTGCTTATGTAGTGCTGAGGAATCCAACCCAAGGCCTCAGGCATGCAAGGCAAGCACTCTACCACTGAGCCACCTTCCCAGCCCCATATTCTTGTTTTTTTGTCCCTAATCTCAACATTTTCTTTGAACACCAGAATCTGAAGAATAACTCTTTGCCAGTTATGTTTTATGTTCCATTTGCATGATCCATCCATCTCGATTCATATGTTAACACTGTACTACATTTTGGATATTATGGTTTAAAACTCCCAATATGGCTGAGAGCTGGGTGGCTATTTCCCTCAACTTACTCCCCTCTGTGCATTAACTGCCTCTACTTAGGTGCTGTGTGTGCTGGGCTCATTCTTACTTGGTAATTGTCCCATCAATATCGGAAATGATGATCTTGTCATTCCAGTTCCACAGGTAAATGGTTCCTGCACAGCGGCAAGTACCTTGATACTGAGTTGTAATACTAAACACAACATCATTGGGGCCATCATGGAGCTTTAGTTTTGCCTTTAGTAAAAAGCATAAGAACAAAGAAAACCAGTTGAAGACATACAGTTTGGGACAATCTATTTCAAATTTTATAAAATAGTGTTTGAGGTGACTAACAAACACAAGGAAGGCTATTTCTTTGACATCAGCATTTAGCCCTGCTTGGTACTGAGAATGCTCATGGATGTCCAGAGGAAGCCACTGCTTGAGCAGTGTTATCGGCTTCCAAGGACTTTTCTAACCTCCCTAAAACAGCTCTGCCTACAACCTCCTGCTGAGCTCAAGAAAGCCATTCCATATCAAAAATAGGTCAAAATGAGAGGTGGTTAATAAATGAGAGATGGGAAATAAAACAGGAGAGGAAAATTTGTGTTTAAAATGTTATTTCTCTGTTGTCTTGACTCCCAAAAGACAAGTAGTACAGTTCTGGCTTAAATGTAAGATTCACCAGGGAAGCCAAGCACTAGGACCTCATGCCTATCACCCTTATCTACTTAGGAAGGCTGAGACCAAAAGATGGCAGTTTGAAGCCAGCCCTGGCAGAAAGATCTATAAGACTGCATTTTTCAATTAACTATCAAAAATATTTTTCTAATTTGGGGAGGGGAAAGGAAAAAAAACAAAATGCTTAAAAATAGGGATACAGGTTGACCCACTGTAACAATGAAATGTACAAGACACTATGATGAAAACGAACTTTACAACTTTGGCTGTGTGGGGGGGGGTAGTAGTTGGGGAAGGGGAAGGAAGGGATGGTAGGGGAAAAACAAAGGAGGAGGCAACAATGCTTGATAAAAAAGGTATTTATTACCTTCTCATGTAACTGTAATCCCTCTGTACAGTATTTTTACAATAAAAAGTATTAAAAAAAAAAGCTGGGCTGGAGGTATAACTCAAGAGGTTCAGCTGTGTCCAAGAAAGCCAAAATCAGGAACTAGGGAAAATATTTTTTTTAAGATTAATTCTTTAGTTTACGTCTATAGACTGAAGAGCAGGTCTGGGTTGGATCAAAACCCATGTTCAGGTGATCTAAATGGCTGGAATGAATCATGAGGAGCAGGGATTTGCACTCTAGATGAGTATTTACGTGACCACACACCATGTACACTGTGTGCAGTTGAGATTGGCAATTATTTACAATAAAGCCTACTGGATCCATAGGGATCAAATGAGACTCACAATCTGGTCTGAGGAGAGTCGGAGAGACTTCTTATATGAAGTCATGCTGCTATGACTCAGGGTCTCTGTGGGGAGAGTATCCATTTTGATTGTTTCTTCCAGCTCCTGTGATCCCTCGTCACTGGATGTGTCATCCTCGGCCGGCCTATTCAACATCAAACCATGTTACTAAGAGACAACAGGGAGCCAAGTGTCCATGGCTCATGCAGGCTCTGAACTGTGATTCCCAGATCTCATTTCCTCCTGAATACTGTAGCTAGGATTATAGGCATGAATCACCAGTGTGTGGCAATAAGTTTTTAATTTAGGTTCAATAAAAAAAAAAGTGGCACATGCTAATAATCCACATTGAGAGGATGAGACAGGAGGATTCTAAGTTTAAGGCCAGCCTATGCTACATATTGAGAACTTGTCTAACCAGAAACCAAAAATCAAAAACCAACCATCCAAACAAAAAAGCAAAAAGGAAAAAGAGCAATAAAGGTATCCTCACCCTCTCTACGATGAAAGAGTTGGTTCTTCTCTAATTCTCCCATATCCAGTTTCTTATGCATATCCTTAACTACTGAGATCACCTCCTCTTCATGTCCTTATTGCCATACAACTAGTTATTTTGGTCTTGACCTGTTACATTCTGCTATGCCCAAGTGTCCACCTACTCTTGTTGACAAGGATGTTTCAATTAGTACAAATAAAAGAAAATACTGTTTATGTCAATTTTCCTGGGGAGATAATACAGGATTTGAACTTAGGGGTTTGTACTTGCTAAGTAGGGGCTGTATCACTTGAACCATGACTCTAGCCCAGCCTATGCTGGGCTAATTAAAAGCTAATGTTTCATCTCATACATTCCTCATATGAAGGTAAAGACATTCTTAATTTTAACTTAGGACAGATCAATACTAAGGTCTTTCTTGGACTTATATAAAGTATAACCTAATTCTCTTTCCAATAGAGATTCTATTTTATTTAAAATATAGTTGTACACTCTTTAGAATCCTGCCAACTATTTGTCTTGCATATCTGACCTTGTGTACCCTATTGTGGATGGAATCATATTAATGAAGAGAATTAAAGGAAATTTTACAAAATGTGTTCACTCATTTCCCTATGATTATCTCTATCAAGCAGCCCTGCCACCAGCTGGGAGAGCAGAACTTCGCAGACAAATGCTCTGTAAGCTGGCTGGGCCCAAAGGAATAAGCAAACAGGCAAAGGTTTCTAACCAACTTGAATGTTTAAAAAAACGTTTCAGGAAATAAAGATCAAGGTATATAATACATTTTTTTGGTTATTGTTGGTCATGGGGGCTTAAACTCTGGGCTTGGGCGCTAACCCACAGCTCTTCAGCTCAAGACGAACGCTCTACTGCTTGAGCCACTTCCGGTTTTCTAGTGGTTTATTGGAGATAAGAGTCTCACAGGCTTTCCTGCCCGGGCTGGCTTTCAACAGTGATCCTCAGATCTCAGCCTCTTGAATAGCTAGAATTACAGGCATGAGCCACTGGTGCCCAGCTTAAAATGTTATTTTAAAAGAAGGTAAATACAACAGTTTGAATTTGACAAAATTAAGAACAAAGCTGTTAAGAATTTTCTTCAGAATTTTAATGAACCACTTCTCCATACTATTATGAACAACTGCATTAAAATAACCAGCCTTTGGGCTTGGATTACTAAAAGAAAGTTAGCAAGTGAAAGAGAACTAAAGCAGAGAGCATCAACTACAATGGGCACAACAAGAGCAACTTATCTCTGGGTCAGCCAGCTCTTCAGATTCCTTTCCATGTCTCCCTCTAGCCAGGGACAATAACCCTTAGCAGATCTAAGGTCCCATCCCCAAGTTCCACCTTCTTGTCACCACTTCCCCTGGCTCTGTGATGGGGGCCGGTTATTTATAAGTAGTGATGTATTTACTAGTAATATTTTTTTTTAAAAGCAGCTGTTATGTGAGTGGTACTAATAAGCCACTTACTGTCCATCTGATATAGGAAAAAGATGTTTGTCACTTAAAATTAAACAAAACATTCAAGATCAGCCCAAGTACTCTGAGCCATGGTTAGGGCCTCACCTGGCACTGGCTGGCTCCTTAGTACTTGATTGCAGCTCACTGGTTGGTGGCATCTCCGATTTTCCTTCCTTGGCCTCTGGCAGCTAAAAAAAAAAAAAAAAGGTAATGGCAATATGAAATGTTTACCCGATGGATAAGCCAAACTTACCAGCTTCCCTCTCTAGGAAAAATAAAACCTTCTGAACTCACAAAGACTTAAGAAACACACTCTGTCTACTTTGACCCAAAGGGTATAGCAGCAACTTGAGACAGAAGTGTTGTCATACAAAAAATGATCACTACAAAGCTAGTTAAGACATACTAGAAGAGCACCATTTTAGTCATAAAGTGTAATACAAGTGACCTAAAATGGTAAGGGCCCTGGAAGAGACATTGGAACATCATAACAGAAGTGATCAATGCTGCCTGCTCCTTCTGGAAGTTATTCAGCAGCTGCACAAGGGCAGGAAAAAGCAGAACACAATGATGTGGACATGAACTTGGCTTAGGCAACACTAATCTGATATGTGAAACTTAGAGTAGTCTTTTTCAGAAGGCTTGAATCTACTTGATCTATTTGAGTAATACTGTTCTCTGGATAAGCCTGATCTACTGACTCTTCATTTAAAGAGCAGATTCTAGTTATTTGCATGTGGAACTGTAGAGGACTATAAATTTTTGCTTTTATCTGAAAGGTAAAACAAGGAAGAGGAAAGAGCATAGGCCCTAGTGTCAAGACTCAAGGTCATCCCCAGCTCCATCCCTCACCAGTTATATGACTTTATAGAGCTCTATTATTTCTATGTGCCCAAGCTTCATTACTGTAAAATGGCAATTCAAATGTCTTTGGGGTTGAGCTGTAGAAAGCTGAGATATGAAACTACCTAGAACAGTACCTGCTTAAATGCTGTTAAAGCCAGGTGCCGGTGGCTCACGTCTGTAATCCTAGCTACTCAGGAGGCTGAGATCTGATGATCTCGGTTCAAAGCCAGCCTGGGCAGGAAAGTGCATGAGACTCTCATCTCCAATTAACCACCAGAAAACTGGAAGTGGCACTGTGGCTCAAGTGGTAGAGCGCTCACCTTGAACTGAAAAGTACAGGGACAGCACCTAGGCCACACACACACACACACACTAATACCACATAGAAGATAGCAGATATAGGCTGAACTGTTGTCTACCCATGGCATGTCTATGCCATGTGCTTTCTCTGCTATATTTCTTTTCTAATAAAAATTTTCTATCATCTTAAAAAAGCCCAGACCATACAGCCCATTTTCTTGTACGTGGCTAACAAGTTGTTTGACTGAATGATTCACTTATTTTTAGTCCATAGCAAGGTTGTTACCTGCTTGGTCATGCTTTCTCTCTTACGCCAAAACCACCAGCGACCAGATTTCTTTGGCATCTTGTCTTTAACCCAGGACTCAACTGTAGCCTGGAAATCAACCAACTTGGGTCAGTATGGGTGATCTATTTATTGTAAAGTACTCAATTCTTCACATCCCAATTCTGACAGTGTTTTCAGTAAGAATGAAAGGACAGCATCCTACTTTGGTGGCAGCAAAGGTCATGGAAGCTCTATGGTGTGAGTCTGGTAGTCTGGCTAGATAGGTCCTTTAGGGTAGGCAGATGATTTCTTCTTGGCCGATAGATTACACATCTTGAGGTTTGGGCTTCTACTTGGAAGATGTAAGCCACAATCTGATACAACTACACTAATGGTCATGCTTCTGTTGTAACTACAGCAATTTTCTTGCTGCTTCTTCCCACATTAATGAGAAGACAAACTTCTTTCATTCATTCAATTTTTCACTTAAAATTAGTAAAATCTCTGAGCTCTTCTATGGTGCTGGTATCGAAGGCCTCATGCATGTTAGACAAGCACTCTACCACTGAGCATCCTCCCAGCCTAAACCTTTGAATTGTTATATACCACCCAAAACTGGTATAGATATTTAATGAACGTGAAAGGGAAGAGTTTCCGCCCAGCTAATACACTAGATTTTTGGTATGGGACAATTTAAATAAGTATGTACAAGTGAGTTGAATTCTTTATATTAAATATTGTGCTCAGACAAAATACTGGATAGTACCCAGCTTAAAAAAAAAAACCCAAGTACTATATTCTGTACTCAGGGCTTGGGTGCTGCCCTTGAGCTTTTTTGCTCTAGGCTGGTGCACTACCTTTCAAGAAGGCCTCAAATGTCAATCACTCACCTTAGGCAAACTCTTCTGGAATACTTGCAAACTAAGGATCATGGGAGCAGCCAAAGCCCAGTTATAGTAACTGTGAGAAACAAAAATTATTCAAAATTATTACACAAGGATAGTGTGGGAGAGAAGTGAAGCAGGGTTGGGGAGGATGTGAAGGAATACAGGAAATGCAGAAAGAATGATTTGTTTACTCTTTTCAATAAAAAAACGACCAAGCTAGGTGCTGGTGGCTTATACCTGTAATTCTAGTACTAAGGTAACTGAGCTCTGAGGATCCTAGTTTGAAGCCAGCTCAGGGAAGAAAGTCTGTGAGAGTCTTGTCTCCAAGTAACCACCAAAAAGCCTTGGAAGTAGAGCTGTGGCTCAAGTGGTAGAGCACTAGCCTTAAGCAAAACAAGCTCAGAAATAGTGTCCAGGACCTGAGTTTAAGTCCCAGGACTGTTTTGTTGTTGTTGTTTTTCCAAATCAACACCTAAATTTTCATTTTGAAAACTGCTTCAAGCCAAAAACCTCTCTGATAACAGAAGCATAAACAAAAGAGTAGTATTTCAATGCCTTATTAAATAACTTGAGGCTTCATTTTCACTTAAAAGTCATTCAGAATTGGCTCCTTCATATGAGAAGACAAATTTTTATACTTAAAAATAGCACCTTATTAAAAAAAATCCCTTATATTCAACAATGATCAGGCAAGAACATTTACCGGTTATATATCCGTATTACAAGGTTAGGATTGTCTATAAGTCCAGGGTTTTCTGCAAATTCATGGTAAGTAATGATATGCTCCATAAATTTTTCTGCAATATAAAATAGTAATGATCAATTTGGTTAGAGATAATTATAATATTCTGCATCACTAGAATTGTAGGCTGAGGGCTGCCTCAAGTAGTACAGCATCTGACTAGTAAGCACAAGGCCCTGAGTTCAAAGCTCAGCACTACAAAAAAAAAATATAGGCTCAGTTGCTCACATCCCCCTCCCCCTTGGTGGTAATGGGGTTTGAACTCTGGGTTTTGCACTTACTAATCACTGTCACTTGAGCCACATCTCTGCCCTAAATTAAGCCCTTCTTAAACATACAAAAAACCAAATCAAACCCTAACATTTTTGTATCTATCAAGGCAAAATATCACACTTCATCCCCCGCCCCCAGTATACATAAGCAAGTGCTCTACCACTTAAATTATACCCCTGGCCCTGACAATACACTCTTCATTTCTTGTAAAACATGAGCTCAAGGTATGAGACTCTTGTCTTATAGAAATGTATTCATTACCTTACTTTTATAAATGTAACCCCCCTGTTCATCACCTTTACAATAAATAAATAAACAACAAAGCAAATAAGACAGAAGGCAAACAAATGGGATAAAGAGATAAAGAGGCATAAAAGGGCTGGGAATGTGGTTTAGTGGTAAAATGCTTGCCTAGCATGCATGAAGCCCTAGGTTTGATTCCTCAGTACCACATAAATAGAAAGAGCCAGAAGTGGCACTGAGGATCAAGTGGTAGAGTGCTAGCCTTGGGCAAAAGTAGTTCAGGGACAGTGCCCAGGCTCTGAATTCAAGCCCAGTACTGGTAAGGAAAAAAAGAGGCATAATATCTAGTAACCCCAAAGGGTGAAGTTTAGGAAAACAGTTCTAGGGCTCTGGCCACCCAATCTGACACATCACACCTTTAGTTCCTCTGAAGGGAAGAGAAGACATAGGATGATGTAAAAATGATGGTAGCAGTTATGAAAAGAAAACCTTTCTCAGAGGAAAATCATGGGCCATCAGCCAAAATAAGAAATGATTAAAGGTTTAGTTTAAAATAAAGGTAAATTAAAAAGGCTAAGGAATGTGAGACTCACCCACACACAGGTGCTCCATTACATCTATACTTTAGCTATCTGACCACCTCTGCTAAGCTCCTTCCTTATTCTGTTGCAAGCTTTATTTACCTCATGCTAACTCTCAAGTGGACTTCTATACTTTTTGCTAGAAAGACCATTTACTCAGTGGATAATCAATTTTATCATCAGGTCTAAGCCCAGTAATTTCCAGGAAAGCAGCTGGTCCTAGTCACACAAATATTCCAACAACTTTGCAGATGAAAAGATCAACACGATGAAGTCTGACTTGACTGCTTAGCCAACAGGCCAGCAGAATTCTATTTCTTCGTTTGAAATCAGAGCCTTCAAGGTACTGTCCTCACCAAAATGTGGTCTAAAAGTCTAATTATTAGAAGATTACTGATTTTATGAGAGTATCAGGCAGGAACTTAAACACCCTGAACTGGGTAAAGGCAAGTTTGAAATCACATATTGACACAGTGTGAACATGGCATGACTGTCCAGCATACCTTTAGAAATTTCTCCGTTCTCACTGAGGCCCCCACAAAGGGAGAGGGTGACATCCGGCAAGTCCATGGCAGAGTCCGAGAGGCATTCGGTGCCGCTGTCTGCCGCAGCACTGCCCACAGACTGAGGTGACTGGGAGCCAGACAGTGTGTCAGACTCAGGCCACTGACGAGAGCCTGGGTCTGTTTCACTGCAGCAGGGGAAAGAAAAGGTTGAAAAATATGTTTTATTACAAACTCTTACGTTTCTAGCTTACTACATGATTTGCTGGGGGGATCAAAGCAAACATCCCTTAAGAAGAAAGGTGGGTGGTAAAAGAGGAGAAGGTAGCTACATGTTCTTTTAACACCCATGGGTGCTAATTTTATTAGGCACATGAGTGGCCCCTTCTGTAGTTGGGCGTGGCCACGTGACTGAGCTAGTGCTGGGTATAAGGTACACCCTTCCAGCAAGGTCTTTGTTATTTTTACTGAATATTGGACTTCAAGGCCCCGAGGAGAGCAGAGTCTCAAATTAGAAGGGACCTGTATGCAGGCATGTCACCAAGGAAGGGACTGGAAAGATCTGCCAAGAGCAAAAAATAAACTTTGATTGTGGAACTTCACTGTGATGTTGAGATTCATCAGTTATATGACACTATTTCAGGAAATAGTTGGTAAGCTGCAGCTTAGTGAATAGGAAGTAGCTCTAACCAATTAAATTATAATAGAGTATACAAAGGTCCTATCATTTGACACTCTTCACTTATTATGTCAGTCGTGGGGCCTGAACTCTGGGACTGGACACTGTCCCTCCGCTCTTCAGATCAAGGCTAGCACTCTACCACTTGAGCCACAGCACCACTTCCGGCTTTTTTTGCTTATGTGGTGCTCAGGAATCAAACCCAGGACCTCATGCATGCAAGGCAAGCACTCTACCACTGAGCCACCTTCCCAGCCCCTCACTTTTCATTTTTTTAAAAAGAGAATTTAAGAAATCTGTTATAAGAATGCCAGTATAAATAACCAAGGACTAGGAAATTAATTAAGACAGCTTACATTTTAATTTTCCTAGTAGAATAAAGCAGTTTCAATTTCTCACCTCAAAAAACCCTGATTATTTCAAATGAAGTATGTGTATACTTGAGATAAATTTAGAGTACATACAGACCTAAGAAGAAATTTTAAGAAGCTCCCCCAAATCCTATAAACAAAATTAAACTACTGTGCTGAGTCTTATCATAAATAGCTATTAAGTCACCATACTAAAAATAACATTTATGATTTTTCTAAATCCTGAATAATCAGATTTATCTAAAAAGCAATCACTTTACACCTTTTCCTAAGATAAAATAACTGGAGTATTTTGGAGCTGCTCACCCAGAACAGAAAGCATACACTACCTTTTAGGGAAATAGAGAGCTGCAACTTCAGGTTCTAGAACCTTTAAGTCATCAAGGTAAATATCATCAGGGCCCTGGTGCTGGCTTCTCTTGTGGACACCTATTTTTATAGAAAAGACATAACAGAAGTAAACAATTGTGTTGTTTTTCATTTATAATTCTGGAAGAAAATAAAGGTTTCCAAATAGGATATACCATGATTTGAATAAAGTTTTATATTTAAAAGGTGTCAACTGTTTATCTTGTTGATTACCATCCAAGCCAATGAACCAAGTGTTCAATAATAATTCTAGCACCTACTTTATATTTAATGATGAAAGTTTAAAAAATTAAGGATAGGATAAACATGACCAAACTTGAGACTACTTATATATACTTTCCATTACAGAAACTACCAGGCACAAGTGGCTATTGCACACTTAAATTGTCACTTGTTTAAATTATGTGAAATGCAGTAAAAATGATCTAAAATATAAATTTTAAATGTAAGAAAGTATAAAAGCATGATTTTCTATAATTTTTAAAAAAAAATCTCAATTTTACATTCATTACATATTAAAGTTCTAGAATTTTAGGCTTTATTTATTGCTTTGGATAGAATATAGCCTAATAAACCCAAACCTAATTATACTTTTCAAAAGTAGCCATTAGAAGATTCAAAATTACATACATGGTACATATCTATTGACAATGGTATGAAAGCTAATTGCCAGTTAAGAAAATATGAGCATTTCACTTTAGCAAAACAATCAGATGTATCTGGAATGTAAGAGCTTATCATGACATTGGATGAACTCTTTTAAAAAGTCCATTACAAAGGAGGATAGTAAGGAGAGAGGAGTAAAGGTACGTGAGAGGGAGAGACAAGGGAGGTTAGGTAAGAGTTCTTTTAAAATAAACTGATGATTTCTGTACCCTTTGCTTTGATTTGGGGAAGGTAATGGAATCACATAAACAGTGGAACAAAAGGTGAATCAATTCAACACTGATACTCACTTTCTCACTATACACTATGTTAGAAATGAACTTTACAACTTGGGGGTGAGGAGGGTTATAGGGGAAAAAGTGGAAAAAAATGAGAGGAAGTAACACCATTCAAAAAGAAATGTATGTACTACCCTTACTTAGGTAACTGTAACTTTTCTTTACATCACCTTTACCATAAAATTTAAATTAAAAGAAGAAAGAATGACATTTGTTAGGAAGTGGGAAGACTTGGAAAACTGAAGTAAATCAAGCACAGAGACAAAGGATGTATGTTTTTCTTTATATGTGGAAGCTAGATTTAGCTTATAAATTTTAAATATATTTAGTTGCATGCCAGTGCATTAACTATATTAACTGAAACACAATAGATTCAAGGGAGATATCAAATATTGCAATTTTGTAGAAAGACAAAGCAAAAGCTCAGCAGGTACTCAAAGGGGTGGAGTAGGGTTAACATCAACATGGTAGAGGAATGCAGTGAAGAGGGGGAAATGCAGAGAAGCATCCAATGTATATCCTACAAAATTAAGAAAAGTAAGGGACAGGATGGCTAGGGAAGGCTGAGTGAGAATGTTGAAAGGGGCGACATTGATTAAGATATATTGTATTCATAAGCTGCTTTGTTAAATGGCAACTCCTTTGTACAACTAACTAAAGAAAACAGTTCACTTAATATCTTATCTGGTCATATGTACATAGCTTCTGACCTTTTCTGCTTGTCCCAGACATATACTAGTTATTGCAAATAACTAGCATAGTATGTCCCAAGATAGGGACATAAGTGGTTTTTTTTCTTGCTATTGTTTCTAACTTATTTATAATGTACTATGTGATTTTTTTGTTGCTTTGTATGTTCTTCCCCCACGGTAGAACCCCTGTTTTCACTGTATTTGATGTCGGTCTAATTTGGGGAGGGGAAGGGAAAAAACACAATGTTTAAATAGGGATACAAGTTGACCCATTGTAACAATGAGATGTATAAGACACTATGTTGAAAAACGAACTTTACAATTTAGGCAGGCAGAGGTGGGGGGTGGGGGGTGGGGAGGTAGTTGTGAAAGTGGGAGGGAAGGGATGGTAGGGGAAAAACAAAGGAGGAGGTTACAATGCTCCATAAGAAATGTACTCATTACCTTGCTCATGTAACTGTAACCCCTCTGTACAGTATTTTTACAATAAAAAAACTTATTAAAAAATAAAATAAACTGATGAAAGGAATTGATAAAAAGATTAAAAATACACTTATCACATTTGAGGAAATCTAAATTCTTCAAGATGGTAATGGTACTGTAGTTATATTTATTAACTCATGAGAACTGATTCATTTACTTTTTTAATAAATATTTCCAAAGACGGCCTAAGTGACAGGAGATAGTAGTCAGGAAGTTAAGCATACTACTCCACTGGAACTTGAAAGATTAAATGTGAAGACACTAAGAATCATAACAAAATGCAGAATGGGTCTTGACTGAGAAATATAAAGGTAGCAATCTCATATATAAACACTGAAAGAATTTACCATCCAAGTACTTCACCACTAATTAAACAATTATTACCTTTCTTCTTTGATGGTGAGTCTACTTTAGCTGCTGGCTTGGGTTCCGAGGGAGCCTCTGGTAGGGATGGACTAGGAAGGTGGTCTGCATCTAACATAGATGAAATCCGAGGTGTCTCAAGAGGAGACTGGAGAAGTTCTGCATTTGTATCACTCATCTGCTTACACAAAGCTCTGGGTTTGGGTTTCACTATGGTACACACAGTGTCTTCCACATTAGCATCCTTTTCAACTTCTCTTACGAGACTGTCTTCACTGGGAATTACCCGAAAATGGGTATTTTCTGAAGGTGTAATTGTAGCTGTTCGTGGATGATAGTCGTATCTTTCTCTTTTGCTGACCTACAAACGTTAAATTGTTTAAAAATTAAACTGATTTCAAAAGGTATTTATGACACTTAAGCTAGTAAACATGTTCATTTCATTAACCTATTTCAAGTGAAAAGGTTCGTAATTGGCAAGAAGTAATAATTTCAATTTGTTCAATGATGTGATATAACTGTTCTATTATGAAGATTTAAATATTAAAGACTAGAAATATGACAATTTTTAGATGTCAAGAGGTAGAAAATATTCGTTTTGAGGGAAACAAGGCACATAAAATTTAACAAGGCTCTGTTAAAACAAAGTAGGAAGTCCAGGAAGTGGCGCTGTGGCTCAAGTGGTAGAGCGCTAGCCTTGAGCTGAAGAGCTGAGGGACAGTGCCCAGGCCCAGTTCAGGTCCCACGACCAACCAAAAAAAAAAAAAAAAAAAAAAAACAAAGTAGGACATCCAAACCAGATAAAAAAAACATAAGCAGTTTGTATGTCTTAACTAAATTCAATAAGAGAATCTAAACATTTTTTTCCTTTCAAGAAATATTCTCTTTATATAATTTAAAAATTCAGTATGGTAAGTTTATTTTTGGTGCATACAGAATTTTCTTACAGTAATTAGCAATCAACATTATTTGCTAAGGATAAACAAAAAGTACTGTTGTGTTGCTTCTGTTAGAAATACAAATTACCAACATTTTAACTTTGTTTTGTATTAGGACCACAGGAGGGCGCACGATGGTGTGAGTACTACGGTCTGTGAAATTAGTTAGAAGCTGCTTCTTTTACTTAGTGATGGGAGACTCCATTTGTCTTAATCAGACACATCCACAGACTACAGGGTAAACTTAATACCTTAGTGGACTCTGGAAATCCACCCCACGTCCATTCCATGTGTGACTCAGATCTGAGCAGACTCTCAGCAGGTTTCACCTCCAACTCGGAATCACTCTTAGGACATAAGGCCTGGGAATAGGTGCTGCAAACACAAGGACAAAGAAGAGCAAAGCCTTCAGTTTTGTGAGCATGACAGAGAAACAGAAAAAAAAATACATGCTATTGAAGGGAACACCAGTTACTTCTTCCATTTGAGTTTTGCCAACTAATGTTTACTGAGGATTTATTAGGTCCTCAGTAAATACTATTATATCCATTCTTTTTTTTTTTTTTTGGGTCCGGTCATGGGGCCTGAACTCTGGGCCTGGGTGCTGTCCCTCAGCTCTTCAGCTCAAGGCTAGCGCTCTACCACTTCAGCTCAAGGCTAGCGCTCTACCACTTGAGCCAGAGAGTCACTTCCGGCTTTTTTCTTTTTGCTTATGTGGTGCTGAGGAATCGAACCCAGGGCCTCAGGCATGCAAGGCAAGCGCTCTACCACTGAGCCACCTTCCCAGCCCCTATTATATCCATTCTTTCCTTTGCTTTTCTCTCTGGAACTTAATGAGAAAGGCATTTTTATAAGGGAAGAAATGCACAAAAGGTAGTTTAAATTAACAGCTATCTGGCTCCATGTTCAACTACAGTATCAAAACCCAGACAAAGAAGCAGCTAATACATGAAGATTTGAGAACAGAACAAACATTATGACATGCTTTTTCACAGACATAGTCAACAGTTGCCACTAAGTGACTAGAATTTTAGTATGGTAGATGAGCAAATTCTGTGCTGCCTAAGACCTATACTTGATGACAATGTTAGAGGTTGGATCAAATTTAGAAACAAAACAATTATTGAGAGAAACAGTTCATATTCATTGAAACTTCAGCAAACACTCACAAACTCTACTACTATTTAAGATATGGGTGTTGCTATTGAATAACAGAAAATTTATTGATTATGTCCTTCCTCTTTCCTTTAAGAAAACAGAATTTTCAAAGATTTTTTTTACCTCTCTAATGGGGACCAATCTCCATCAGATAAGGGGTAGTGATCTCCAGAATGGAAGAGGGAAGGTTCTTTATATTCTTCTTCCTTTAAGGGAGCATTTGTAGATCCTCTGAAAGGAAAAACTCAAAGTCAGAAACAATAATGATACTCCACAAATCTGACAAACTACCTGAATACAGACTATCTGTTAAAACACAGGAATAATCATGTGTATGTTAGCAGAGAGCTCAGTAACTTGACCTATAGTCAAGACAGATTTACAGTTGCTGAAGTTCACTGTTACTGTGCACAAAGCACTTCAACCCACAGATGTTCTTTTACATTATATCTTCAAGTCTGCCCTCATTGTACAAGTCAACATTTCCCCAATTGCTAAGGATAGTTGCATGGATATATACAATCACCAAAATTTACTAAATTCCACATTTAATACCTGTCAATATTGTTGTAAGTTATACTTTAATCAGCAGAAAGCTAAAATACTGAATTACTAACGTAAGATTAACTTTAATCTATAATTGGTATTAAGAGATAAATGTGGTTTACTAAGTACCATGAGCAAAGATCACTTAAGATAACAATATATTTATCAGCAACTTTAACAGTATTACTCAGTAAATTTCACTGTGGCTAATAATTGACATTTGAATTTGACACGAAACATCCCTTGTAAAATAAACACTTCATAAAAGATGACTGATGCGTCAGAATATAGGAGGACAAAGGCAGGGTGCCTATAAGCTCCAGGCCACCGCATTACATACCACAAAAGAACCTGTACCTGTGAGGTCCTAAAAGCCAATACTGATCAAGAGATGAAGAATATAGCCTCTAGGCAAAGATGCACTCCATGACAAGTCTTAAGCTTCATGACTTAGTTCCTAAGTTTATCTTTCAAAGCAAACACATTTTTGTAGTTGAGAGTTAAAAGTTGAGGTTTCTGACTGACTGGTTTTGATCCTTCATTGTGTTACTGTGTATCTGAAATATTTCCATCAGTAGCATGGAAATATTGTTTTGCATATTTTAGATTTGTTTCAAAAATGGTGATGTTTTGTATATTTGAACTCAAAACTGTGACAGGATAGTTCCAATTTGAAAAGTCCTTTTCCTGCCCAGAAGGATACATTGTTCAACAATTTACACACACACACACACACACACACACACACACACACACACACACACACACACACACACACACATCCTGTGAAATGTTTCCATGTTTTATTGAAGCCTCAAGTCTAGTCTATCTTTAGGGAGGCAGAGAGACTCTCTAGGTACAATGCAAACAAAGCCCTGGGTAGTTTAAAATACTACAAATGACCTTCTGTGACTGCAATGGCTTTAAGGAATGACTCCCTCTGGGTGCTGGTAGTTCACATCTATAATCCTAGCTACTCAGGAGGCTGAGATTTGAGGTTTGTGGTTCAAAGCCAGCCCAAACAGGAAAGTCCACGAGACTCTTATCTCCAAGAAACCACTCAACCACCGCAAGTGGCACTGTGGCCCAAAGTGGTAGAATGCTAGTCTTGAGCAAAAGAGCTTAGGGACAGCACCCAGGCCCTGAGTTCAAGCCCCATGACAGACAAAAAAAAAAAAAAAAATTCCCTCTTTCATTTGCCTTCTTCAAGAAAACTCAACCTTCTATAATCAGTAATATTTTTGAAAAGAGTTTAAGTAGAATGTCACTTGTAAAAATAAATTAGGTGCTAGGTAGTTCAGTGGTAAAGCACTTGTCTAGAATGTAAAAGCCCTCGATCCTATTCCCACTATTGGGGTGGGGGTGGGGGCAGACATCACTCAACTGCAAAAGCCCCCCTTCCCACCTAGGGACTGAATTCAAGACCAGTGCAATTCATGTGTGTGTGTGTTTGTGTGTGTGTGTGTGTGCGTGCGTGCGTGCGTGCGTGTGTATAACCACTGTAATGTATCAGTGCAATGCATCATTTACATTAGTGGTGAGGCTGGTATAGTAAATGCCAGTTGTATAAAAGAATAGCACGTACAATTATTTATAATATATAATACCTGACAATATACAGCTATGTTGGTTTATATAAATCTTTACATAGATCTTATTTTATATAGATTTTATATGGATATGTTTATATAGACTTTGTAGATTTGAGGCAGCATCTTGCTATACAGCCCAATCTGGCCTTGAATTCTCAGTACTCCTATTTCAGTTTCTTGAGTGCTGGGATTATAAACATGTGCCACTGTACTCAGCCCACATACATTTCAGGAAAGAACTTTTTCAAGTGACAGGATCTGCAACTCATTACTGCTCCCCACAAAAAACACTATTTACAAGTTCCTGAAAAATACTACACTGCCCTACATCTGTTGTAAGATGTCTGCTTACCAAGAAGCAAGGTGCTAGGTACCTAATCAGTTTCCTAACATACTTGATGTGAGCTTTCATACAATTTGGGAAAGTAAGGTATCCACTAGTATTTCTGCAATGTACTGACTTACACTATCCATTTACAAAATGCCCTTAAAATAACAACTCTTGTACATTTAGTAGAGGACTTTATACTAATCCAAATAAGATTTAGGTTATTTGAAATTTGTATAAAAACACCCCTACATTTGTTTTCTACTTACCTATGTTACTATATGTAAGAGAACAAAGAAATTGCTTACAATGGTAACAGTCCTGAAATCAAGCAGTGGAAGGTCTGAAAGGTGCTTTCCCTCAGCTCTTCAGCTCAAGGCTAACACTCTTATCACTTGAGCCACAGCACCACTTCCAGCTTTTTCTTCTTATGTGGTGCTGATGAATCAAACTCGAGCCTCATTTATTCAAGGCAAGCACTCTACCACTGAGCCACCTTCCCAGCCCCAAATAAAATGTAATCAAATGTAAGAAAAGATTTATCTGTTCCTTTTAAATCCCAGGTAGTACTGAGTTGGAAAGCAGCATGTATTTTGAGCTCTTCTAACTAAACTAGTAAGATTAAGAACTCTTAAAAATAGAGAAATAAACTCCTTTCTCTTCAACTGACTAGAATATTTTGATAATCACTCAAAACAAAATTGTTAACTTCTAGTACTGGTAAGATGCCAAACATAAAACCTTGGGTGGGGTTGCCAGATTTATACTAGGACTACACTAGTAATCCTAGAACTCAGGAGGGCTGAAGCTGGAGGACTGAGTTCAAGGTCAACCTGGGTGACACAGAAAAATCCTGATTCAGGGGAGAGGGGGAAAGACCATGGGTGGGGTAATTGCACAGGTGAAATAATGTGTGCAATAGCATCTAACCGGGAGTTAGAGACTAAGGCAGATCTTTTGTTTTTAAATGAATAATTTATATCATAGCAAAAGGCTGAACAGTAAATTCTGCAGAAATGCAAAAGGAAAAAGAAAAAGAAATGATGCTATGGCTATTTGTTTCCAAACAGTAAGAGCAACTGCTGGCTGTCCTTGAGCCCCACCAACCACAAGAAAAGAGCTGTACCTTGCTGCTTGAGCTCCCTTCTCATCATCAGAGCTCACGACCACATCACATGCATCTTCTGCACTAGGAGAAGCAGCCTGTTCTTCCTTCTTACTATCCTGTTTACATTTCTTTCGCCTTCGTTTTTTCTTTTTCACAGAACTTGGAGTGAAAACAGTCTCCGTTTCCAAGATGTGTGTAATGTCTGAACTCTGAGATGTTCTTTCATCTCCACCTTCTCTCACCAAAGGAGTGTCGATATCTTTAAAGAACTGGTCATCAGTAGGAATTGGTGAGGTAGCAAGATAAGCAGGAAGCTTTTCCTTAAAGAACACAGAGAAAGCAGTTAAGCTATGATCAGCTGGATAATGGACTAAAGCAATAATAAACACTTTGACTTGTACATTTTTACGATGGTACAAAGAAGACTCATTTCTAAAGGTAAGAAAATTACACTGATCTGAGGTGCTGGCCACAGCGCTCAAGCAAATTTCTACTCTGCTAGACATAGCTATATTAGCTCATTTCATCCCATGTAATCAAGTACATTTGAAGGAAATGATTTGCCAACTCGGCACAAAATACACAAAATCAGCAATTAAAGAACAGTCAGTTCAATTCTTTGTAAAGAGATGTTCCAAGCAGCAGCAGAAGTATTCTGAGGGAGTAATAAGGGCTTTGTCAAGAACTTGCAAAGAACAGTATGAATACCAGAAAGCAGAAGGCAGAAAGTAAGGACACCAGATGAGACAAAGAACAGCAGGATAGGGCTGGGAAGGTGGCTCAGTGATAGAGTGCTTGCCTTGCATGCTTGAGGCCCTGGGTTTGATTCCTCAGCACCACATAAGCGAAAAGAAAAAAGCCGGAAGTGGCGCTGTGGCTCAAGTGGTAGAGCACTAGCCTTGAGGTGAAGAGCTGAGAGACAGTGCCCAGGCCCAGAGTTCAGGCCCCACGACTGGACCCAAAAACAAACAAACAAAAAAAAAGAACAGCAGGATACATAAGTGAAATGAATTAGGTGACTTTAGAGTGGTTAATGCAAACTAGCCAAATTAACTGAAGGTGGAAGAAGACTGTAACAGAAACAAAACCCTGTAATAGGCGGTATTATAGAATTTTATACCATATAGTATTTTGAACATCTCACGAATTGGAAAGGAGACTCAATATCTAAAGTAATTCTTAGCTTCAAACTGATTAAATAGACAAGTCTAGTGTTCAGTAAATTAACTTCATACTTCTGTCATTGGAGGAAATGAAAGGTAGAAGGTCATAATTCACCTGGAAAATTTTAGATTTTCTAAAGTTTTTATAAGGGCAGGACAGTGTTGGTGGATGGGTGGTGTTTGTACAGATATGCTCTCTTGCTAAAAGACATAATCATTTATAAAAGAACACAGGCCAATCACTTGAAATCTCTTAAGAGAATTAATTTATGTGTCTAAGGTTGGGGATATAACTGCTAACCAAGTTTAAAGGTCACATGTACAAACATTTACATACAGTCTGAGGCAATATGCCTTACTCAGGCAGAACTAAATAAATTCCAGTCAAGGGAAAAATAGACATTAAGAAAGCTCATTAAGGGGTGGAGGTATAACTCAAGTGGTAGAATACTTACTTCCCTAGTGTGTGAGAGGCTTTGGGCTAAATCCTCAGTACTGCAAAACGCATAGTAAATTAAAGATGTGCTTTCCCTTACAAAAAGAGAAAATTTTATAAAGGCTTTCTGTATGTTTTCTTCACCCTCAAAGCTGGTGTAAAGTTCTTCATTCCCCAGTTCCTTTTTGATAGTTTAGTTCTTCAATATAACACTAAATCTTGTCTAACCAGCAATAATCATTTATCCAAGTATGAAACTGCTGACCATTTCTAATTTGGAACATGTATTAGAGGCCTAAAACAAATGCATAAAGTGGATGTAACCCTTGAAAACTTACATATTCTTCTCCAGTCTCCTCCACGAAGAAAGCTTCTCCATTGTCACCCAATTTCATATGAAGATCTACTGCACTGCCATTGATTTCTATATCAATCTAGTAGAGAAATAAGATGTGGCTTAATATTTAATCTTTCATTTAAACTTTCTGGGCCCTTAAGCCAAACTTGATAAAATCACTTCCTAGAGCTAAAGCCCTAGACAAACACTGTCCCTTACCTTACATCCCCTATCTCAAAGAAACAAACTTGGGTTAGGGCAGGGATGGAGAATTAAGACACTGAAAATGTTTTATCAACTTGGTGTGTGAGCTGGTCTTGTGGCTTGAACTCAGAGGCTGAGTTCAGTCCCTGAGCGTTTTATACTCAAAGCTAGTACGCTATTAGTTGAGCCACAGCTCCACTTCTGGTTTTTTGGTAGTTAATTGAGGTAAGGGTCTTACAAACTTTTGTTCCTGGGCTGTCTTTGAACCTCAATCCTCAGATCTCAGCCTTCTGAGTAGATAGGATTACAAGCATGACCCACTGGTGCCTGGCACCACTACCACCTATTTTTAAAGCTTTAATCTCTCAAATAATACAACATGGGAAAAATACTATAGGTACTTTTGTACACTTTCCAAATTTTGGCAAGCAATCCTCACCCTGCATGTTCATGAGCTGGGAGCAATTTCCCTCCAGGTCTTCTGTCCATAGATCACTACATAAATAACAGAAGCCATCTGTAAACCATCACTGCTCTTCTTTGCTATCTGTTAGTACTCTAGCCTCAAGATAAGTGATAAATATATCTAACTTAAAAAAAAATTAAAAGAGAAAATTATTGGCCAAGATATCCAAATATAACAATAAAATAAAAACTGATGATGCTGGAAGACAAATTCATGTCATATGTAAGATTATAGAAGAAACAATTTACTATGGGCATCATGCCCTTGTTGCCAATGGAGGGATCAAGATGTACTGCAAGAAGTACATAATACAGAAGTACCTTCAGACTTAAGGAAAATGTCCAGAGACAAACTTTATATACATACTATTAATACTTATGGTAGTAATTTTTCTTAATCATAGAGATATTGATTAGCAATTTTGAAACTCTCTTGTGTAGGACTGGGTAGATATCAGACACACTGTGGATAATTAATTAGAACTGTTCCTCATAGTCAGAAAGGTTACAGATTAGGAAAAGCAACCTGCAGTAATGTACTGGAGTCAGAAGAATCCATGAATATTATTTTTAAACATGTGTAAAAATGTACACATGTATTAGCTCTTCCAGATGAGACAACCTAGAAGCAATGCTACTTTAGTAGCATGAGAATATCCAGTGACCAGATTTTTGTTCCTAAAAAGCTTAAACACTGATGGAAGTAGGGTGTGGTGGGGCACATTTATAATCCCAAAATTTGGGAGCAGAGCCAGGAGGATACATAGTGAGAGCCTATCTCCAACAACAACAACAACAAAAATTAAGCATTTCAGAAAATAATCAATTTGATAGTACATACAATACTAATGGACAAAATGGGATTTGAGCAACTAAATAAAAGTTTTAATGTTAGTGCCCTTCCCCCCCCCCCCCCCCCCCCGCCCCGTACTGGGGTTTGAACTCAAGGCTTCACTTAATAAGCAGGCACTCTACCATCAGAACCATGCCCCACCTTGCTATAGTTGTTTTTCGGATAGATCTTACATATTTTGCCCTGGCCAGCCTTGGACCATATACTGTGATCCTTCTACTTATGCCTCCTATACACAGCTGAGATTAACAACACCATGTCTGGCTCATTTGTTAACTTTTTGCTCTGGCTGGTCGCAAATAAAGATCTGCCCATTGTCCATTTCCTAAGTACCTGGGATTACACTGTGCTCAGGAAGAGCAGCTCTGAAATAAAGAATTGCATTTAATAAATGGTGCAGAAGAACCAGCATAGTGGGGCACACCTCTAAATCATAGCTACTCTGGAGGTGGAGACAGGAAGACTACCGCTCAAGGTCAGCTTGGGCATAAGTTTGTGAGAAAATTATCTGAAAAACAAAGTAGAGCTATCAGTAATACTCACTAGACACTATGTTGAAAATGAACTATACAACTTTTGAATGAGGACAGGCAAGAAAAACAGAGCAAAGGAGGGGGTGATGTTGTCCAAAAAGAAACATACTCTTTACCTAGCTTATGAAACTTTAATACCTTAGTACATCACCTTTATAATAACAATAAATAAATAAGAGTATATGGTTCATGTGGTATATCACCTTGACTAGCAAAACCCAAGTTCCCTCAGTTCAGCCCCATGACTATATTTTTAAGTAGAGAGGAGACTCATAAATGAAAAAGCTGGGTAGGATGGTACATGCCTGTGGTCCCAGTTATTTAGGAGGTAATGATCAAGAGAATTACAGTTTAAGACCAGCCTGGATACAAGGACTTTTCAGCTCCACTTCTGCTTTTTTTGGGGTGGGGGGGCGTTGGTTAATGTGCGTTAACAGTCACAGACGTTCCTACTTGGGCTGACTTTGAACCTCAATCCTCGGATTTCAGTTTCCTAAGTCACTAGGATCACAAGAATAAGTGTCCAGCTACAAAAGGGCCTTTTATCTCAACAAATAAACCAAGTGGCAGTAGGCACCTGTGATCCCAGCTATGTGAGAGACAAAAGTAGAAGGACTGTGATCCCAGGTTTTCCTAGGACAAAACAAAAACACAGAAACTAGCTAAAAACTGAAGTCAAAGGGATGGATGGGTGTGTGGCTCAAGTGGTAGAGTGCTTGACTAGCAAACATGAAGTGCTGAGTTCAAATGGCAGTACTGGGAGAAAAAGAACTGAAAAAAAAAAAAAACACTTGGCAAACAAAATACAGGCAAAATTCATCAATGTTATTAAAATACATGGGCAAGCCAAGTCCTGGTAGCTCATGCCTGTAACCCTACATACTCTGGAGGCTGAGATATGAGGATCATGATTTGAAGCCAGCAAGTCAGAAAGGTCCATGAGGCTCTATCTATTATTAACTAGCAAAAAGCCAGAAGCAGAACTGTGGTTCAGGTACCTTGATCAAAAAAGCCAACGAAGAGTGAGAGGCCCTGAATTCAAACCCAGTACTAGCTAAACAATATAACCTGAGTTGATAAATATATTACCACATATTTAATACCACATGCAAAGTATAAGTAAATTTAGACAGTATTCCAAATTAAATCCCTGAGTTATCAGTTAACGGGAGAGCACTGTTATTCTATCAAACAAAATTGGAAAACAACTATTGGAAAATTAAAGTGGTTTTAAAGTGCTTATTATTTCAAATCCACTTCACAGGTATTACCACATTTGGAAAACTGGGGCCTCGGCATAAACAAAAAGTCAATGAATAGCTCTCCATAACCTAAAGTCTCAGAAAAAGTAGTTAATGCAAATTGCCAGTGTATCTCAAAGCAAACCTAGTTTCATATTTTACCATCACAGGAAAGCTGTGCTTTAATAAATAAAAGTCAATTGATTCCCAAATTTATCCTCTAGGTTGTTGGAATATCAGAGTGGAAAAGAAATTTCTTTTATCCTGAATTATGCTTGAGATATGGATTTGGCAAGACATTTAACACAACTGAATGAACCTTGTGAAAAAATCATATTCCTAAATTAGAAGCACAGAGCATGCACAGAAAGGCTATCTATCTGCTCAGTCATCATTTACAGATGTTCTAGAGCTTACATACATTTGTTGCAGGTTCCATTTCCAAAGATTGAAAAACAGATCCAATCTGATAATCAAAACCTGATGAGGCAGCTCAAAAGCAGTTTTACAAATTCTTGCACAATTAATGGATAATTTCAGAACAGAAACAGTTTGCTGCTGATTTCCTCAAAACAGATTCATTCTGAAAGTACTATTACTAGTATTACTAGAAAAAAAAAGCACAGGAGCTAAATTGTTGCTGAACAGCACTGTTTTGCAATGAAACTTTCCAGATCCCTAAGAAAATCACATCTGCTTTTGCTTTCTACATGGTGACTCTGAGCAGAGGCCAGAGCATACAATCACCCTGAAATGTGGTTCTTCGGGACAAACTGATTTGTTATGCCTAGGAAAGTCTCTCTACCACCCATCTCCTCCCATCCCTTGGGGGAAAAATTAGATTTTAAACCCTTCATTGACTTTCACTTTTAAAACAACATATATTTAATTAAAGAGGAGAATTTGTATTTAAACAATAGCAGCTATGTACCTGGGCACCGGTGGTTCATACCTGTAATCTTAAGAAGCTGAGACTTAAGAGGATGAAGGTTCAGAGCCAGCCCAGGCAGAAAAGTCTGTGAGATTCTATCTCCAATCAAGTAGCAAAATGTTAGACTGGAAGTGTGCCTCAAATGGTGAAGCAATAGCCCTTTTGTGAGCTAGAGAGGTGAGAATAAGAAACTCTGAGTTCAAGTCTCTATACCAGCCCCCACAAACAAACTCAGCTATATAAAATAGCAAAAGGTTGATATTAAATGTTCTTAACTTGTGGACGCTGGTCTTCTAACATAAACTTAGATCTGTGTCAGAAATTGATGAGGATTTCTCTCACAGTAATCTTGAGTAATCTCTCTCTGTAATCTTGACAGAATCTCTCAATACATTATATAGATTAGTATTGTAGGCCACAAGTTGAAAGGAAATGAGAAACTGGAAAAGCTTTATTAATAACTCAGTTTTTATGTACTAGGCAAACCTCCCTATTACCCAATACCTGAAGAAAGGCAAGGTTAGGGCACAGCACTGTGGTACAGCATGTGTTACGCATGCTTGAGGCCACGGGTTCCATCCCAGTTCCTCAAAAAGCCCACCCAGCCTCCCCACAATAAATATGGAAGAAGAGGGTAGGGGAAAAGGGAGAAGGGAAGGGAGGGAGGGAGAGAAGGGAGGAGGAATAAAAATGGCTAATACAAATACCTTTTTTTAGGGGGGGGTGTTGGTCAAGGGGCTTGAAATCAAGAGCTGGGGCGCTGTCCCTGAGCTCTTTCATTCAAGACTAGCAATCTACTACTTTGAGTCACAACTCCACTTCTGGTTTTCTGGTGGTTAATTAGAGATAAGTGTCTTACGGTATCTGCTTTGACTTCAAGGTCTTTGATTCATTTGGAGGTGATTCTGGTGCAGAGTAATATATAAGGATCTAGCTCTAGTTTTCTACAGGTGTTTAATCAATTTTGACAGCACTATTTACTGAAGTGGCTGTCTTTCTTCTATTTTATTTTTCTTAGCTCCCTATCAATGATTAGGTGCTATAGGTCTGTGGGTTCATTTCTGGGTCTTCAGTTCTATTCCATTGGTCCTCACATCTGTTCTTGAGCCAGTACCAAGCTGTTTTGATTACTATGGCTTTGTAGTAGTTTGAAATTTGGTATTGATAGTTCTCCAGCACTGTTCTTTCTGCTAAGGATTGTTTTTGCTATTTGGAGTCTTTTATCATTCCATATGAATTTTGGGGTTGCTTCTTCTATTTCCTTGAAGAATGAGGTTGGAATATCGATAGGTATCACATTGAATTTATAGATAGCCTTTGGCAGTATTTCCATTTTCACGACGTCAATCCTCTAAATCCAGGAGAATGGGAGGATTTTCCATTTCCTTAGTTCTGCTTTAATTCCCTTTTCAGGTTTTTAAAGTTTTCATCATAGAGGTCCTTCACTTCTCTAGTTAACTCCTAGGTATTTTATTTTTTGTGGGGCTATTACAAAAGGAGTTGTTTTCCTGATTTCAGCTGCACTCTTCTCATTGTTGGCATATAGAAAAGCCATTGCTTTTGAGGGTTACATCAGCTCAAGTAATTTGGGAGTGGAGTCCATGGGGTTCTTTAAATACAAGATCATGCCATCTGCAAAGAGGGAGAGTTTTACTTCATCTTTCCTTATTTGGATCCCCTTTATGTTTGCATCTTGTCTTACTGCTGTAGCTAGGCATTCTAATACTAAATTGAAGAGGAGTAGAGAGAGTGGACATCCTTGTCTCCTTCCTGAGTTTTGAGGAAAGAGATTTAGCTTTTCGCCATTAAGTATAATGCTGGCTGTAGGTTTATCATACACAGTCTTTATTATATTGAGGAATGTTCCATGAATTCTTAGTTTTTCTAGAGCTTTCATCATAAAGGGGTATTGTCAAATGCTTTTTCTGCATCTATTGAGATAATCATGTGGTTCTTATCCTTGCTCTTGTTGATGTGAGAAGGAATAGGAAAAAGTCTAGGGCTCCTTGGCACAGGCTGAAATTTTCTTAACAAAGACCCACAAACACAATAAATCAAAGAAAGGTTATACAACCTTTCATCCATGAAACTGCAGAGCTTCTGCATGGCAAAGGACATAGCTAGCAAGATCAACAGAAACTCCATGGACTGGGTGAAGATCTTCACTAGCCATACAACAGACAAGGATCTCATATCTAAAATATACTTAGAACTCAAAAAATTAAATACCCCAACAACAAATCCTCAAAGAAACAACCCCCCAATTAATAAGTGGACTAAAGCTTAAAGAGACACTTCTCTGAAGAGGAAATAAGAATGGCCAATAGACACATGAAGAAATGCTCAACCTCTTTAGCCATAAAAGAAATGCAAATCAAGACAACTTTGAGATACCACCTCATCCCAGTTAGAATGGCTTTAATCAAGAAATCTAACAACAGATGCTGGAGAGGATGTGGCCAAAAGGCAACCCTACTGCATTGTTAGTGGGAGTGTAAACTTGTTCAACCACTTTGGAAAGCAGTATGAAGGTTCCTCAAAAGACTCCACATAGAGCTCCCCTATGAACCAGCAATCCCACTTTTGGGCATTTACCCAAACGATCACAAACAAAGCTTACTAAAGCTACCAGCACAACTATGTTTATTGCAGCATTATTAACCATAGCTGAGATATGGAACCAACCCAGATGTCCCTCAGTAGATGAATGGATCAAGAAAATGTGGTATGTACACACACACACACACACACACACACACACACACACACACACACACACACACACACACACGAATTCTATGCCCCCATCAGTAAGAAGACATTGCCCCATTTGTTAGGAAAGGGAAAGACTTGGAAAAAATTATATTAAGTGAAGTAAGCCAGGCCCAAAGAAACATAGGTCCCATGGTTTCCCTTATTTGCAATAGCTAGTATATGTCTGGGACAAGCAGAAATGGTCAAAGGTATGTACATATGACCAGATAAGATGATGTTAAGCAAAATGAACCCCAAAATAGGGATACAAATGGTTTTTTCTTTCTTGCTGTTATTTTTAATGTACTTATAACATACCATGTGAATTTTCTGTTTCTTTTGTATGTTCTTCCCCCATGGTATAACCCCTTTTTTCACTGTATTTGATTCTGGTGCCCTGAATCTTGTATATACAATTTTCTAATTAAGGGAAGGGAAGGGAAGTAACAAAATGCTGAAATAAGGTTACAGGATGACCCATTGTAACAACAAGATGTACAAGACACTATGTTGTAAACAAACTTCATAACTTCGGGGGGGGGTGGGGAGAAGTTGGGGAAGTGGGGAGGGAAGGGATGGTATGGAAAAAACAAAGGAGGAGGTAACAATGCTCGATAGAAAATATACTCATTACCTTACTCCTGTAACTGTAACCCCTCTGTACAGTATTTTTATAGTAATATATATAGATACATACAAATAGAGAGAGAAGGAGAGAGAGGGGGAGGGGGAGAGGGGAGAGGGAGAGAGAGGGGGAGAGAGAGGGAGAGGGAGGGAGAAAGGAGGAGAGAGGGGGAGAGAGGAGGGGAGAGAGGAGGAGAGAGAGGGGGAGAGAGAGGGAGACGGGGGGGGGGGGGGAGAGAGAGAAAGAGAATGCGTGTGTCTCATGGACTTTTCTGCTTGGGTGGACTGGCTTCAAGCTGGGATCCTCAGATCTCAGCCTCCTGAGTAGCTAGGATTACAGGTGTGAGCCACCAATGCCTGGCTCACAAATATCTTTTTGAAGGGTTCATCACTAAAATAAATGAAAGTCAACCAGTCTTTGGATTAGCTTTTAGTCAGTTTGGAGGACAAGTCCTGGTGTGTCAATAAGCTCATACAGATTACAAGTTTATAAATATAGCATTAATTTTCTTAACACAAATAAAGATAACATCAGCCTAGTTCATAATCAGTATGGAGAAGTAATACACTGAGTATTTTAAAGTGCTATTTAGGTAGAAGAGACTCCCCCCACTATTTTCTGAGAGCATTTTCATTTGAAGTCAGGAAACTTGGGACATTCTAGACAGGCACAATGCCACATCGCATGCTCTTTTTGCTTTAGGGTTTGTTTTTTGGTTTCTTAAGTTTTAAGACAGTATCTCTCATTTCTGCCACGGCCAAGTCTATGATGCAGGACTATGATGTAAACAAGGATCCTCCCAATTCCTCTTTACTAGCTGATATTATTGGTGTGAGCTATCACACTCAGAATTTTTGTTTAAATATACACAGCACCCTAAGTTATAACTAATTTTTCATTCTGCTCTTCAAAGTTTTAACATGTAAGAGGATCTTAATAATTACCAGTTTCTTTTTCCTTTGGAGAGAATTTCTATAATAGGGCTTTCTGAATTTAGAACAAATTCAAAAGCAACACCTGAAGGCTGACTTCTCATACCACTGTCTTCAACATGCAGGTTGAAAAAGGAAAATGGCCAGAAAGCTCACCATGATAATTTGCTCACTGAGACCCACTTTTCCAACTCTTTAGACAGGCTGTATGCTGTACTTACCACTTTCTCTTTGGATCTCAGGACTCCCAGCTTCCCAAACCGTACATGAAAAGGTGAACACTGATAGGTGCCATCCTGCTGCCGTACCACGACAACATCGATGCACCCAGACAGGGTGGCTTGATTAATGCCCTTGTATAGTTCCTTTACAGTGACAAGCACCTGCCCGGCCAGCTGACCCACATAATTCATGGTTTGAGACTATAAAGAGAGAGAGAAAGAGAGATGTTAATACTGATTTGTGAGTCTAATGACAAAGACCAAAACTACAGTGGCTCACGGCATACCTGATTTTATGTCATTAACTTGGCTACCTTAGAGCTAGTTTTCTGCTTCCACTGTTTTATTTTTTTTGTTTTGTTTTATTTTTTATGTTTTTTTATTGTGAAAACACTGTACAGAGGGGTTACAATTACATGAGCAAGGTAATGAGTACATTACCTTGCCTCCTCCTTTGTTTTTCCCCTACCATCCCTTCCCTCCCACTTCCAGAACTACACTCACCTGCCCCAACCTAAATTGTAAAGTTTGTTGTTCAACAGTGTCATTTTAACACATTTCTACGGAGGACAGATTGCCTGCCCTTCTTTCTGTGTTAAGAGCTTGTCCCAGTCTGGGTTTAGGCTACAGAAGTTCCTTTTTCTTTCCTACTGGTAGTGATGTTAACTGCCATTAGAGCACTCCCCTACTCCATCTCCCAGAAGCTCAGTGGCTGCAGTCACCCCAGAACTCTGACCACCACTGCTGCCCTCCTGCAAAAAAAACCTGGGGATATTGCATCTACTCTGGCAATAACAGTCAAGCAGAAAAAAGAAAATGGAAAAGAAATATTACTCCTAAGAGCAGAAATAAGGATATGAGGGCTGGGTTCTATACTCAACTCTAATAGAATATTATGGTTCAGATACACGCTAGATTAAACAAATGAGTTGTAAGCTAGATAAGGCTAAACACATTTATAACATTACTTGTTTTAACACAATTCACTGATATGCATTCATATCCCATAAAATTCAAAGTAAGAGGTTTTGATCTACTTCTTCAACCTCAATCCACTGCTTAAATCAGGATCATCAGCGGTCTCTAACAAGGAATCCCTCACAAAAAGTTATCCCTTTTGCCCCACCCAATTCTTCCTTGAAAACCTTAACCCAAACTAGAACAATTTATGTAGTCCAAAGGTGTTACATCCTTCTAGGTCTTAAGCAGACTGCTATGCTTCATTCATTAGAGACACTGTCACCTCTAATATAATGTGAAAGCACAATTCAAGGAAAGTTCTTCTCCTGGGTAGAGTAGACCAAGGTAAGAGATCCTCCACTGCTCTGGCTAATCCAAAAACTGACTTCTACAGAATCCCAGGTCTGACAAAACTAGTCTCCACTTTACTCACCATAAACAGTAGTCTCACTAAACCCAGCTATGAAGCTGCCCTGAGCTTTGCAGAGTTCCATCTCTGCAAAGTTCTAGAGAGACATTCTAGGTTGCCAGGATAAGATCAAAGCAGAACTGGGAGAAATAATGCTGATCCCTTGGGAAAACAAGGGATCTGCCTGCAAAGAAACTCACCCTACTCTTTGTGGATGAACCAGGGTCTACAATAGTGACCTAATTTTACTAAACAAGATTTTCTGCTCTTACACACAGACTAATGTGAAAACAAGGCCTATGAGTTCTATATCATGAAACAGAGCCCTAGGAAGTTCAAGGAAAATTTGCTACCAAGACCTCAATATGTACTTGGACAAGAGGTGCCTTTGAGCAATGCAAGTTAGCAACAAAATTTACCACTATACAATAAAATGAGGTGGCATGAGGTGTTGCAATTATAAAATGCAACTGGTAGTGATTTTGGTTTCAGAACCGATTCAACCTAATAGCAAGCTTAGATTAAGCACATATCACTCAATAATTATTTCTTAAACAAGGGAATGATCAAATGAACTAGCAGTAATGAATCTAAAAACATGTAAGGGGGCAAAAATTTTAAACCCTAAGAAATATGTGGGAAGGAGTTTCACTAGATTATCCATGTAACATCTCACTGTACTTTTAAAAGTTAACTTTTATATTTTGAGATCACTGTAGATAGGAATAGGAATGGCTAATGTAACATCGCTATGACATTATCATTGACTCCATTACGATTCAGAACACTACCATCATCACAAGAATCTCTCCTCCTGTTGCCCTCTTACAACCAAATCTATTTCCTTCTTGCCTTCTCTCACCCCTTAGTCTCTAAGCAAACTCTAACCTCTTCTCCACTTTGAAATTTTTGACATTTTAAGATAGAAGTTATATAGATGAAAAAGTACAGTAGAAGCTTTTTGGGACTGCTTTCTTTCCCTCAGTTTATTCCTGTGGAGCTTCATCCAGGTTGCTGTGTGTCAACAGCTATTTCCTTTCAACTATTAAGTAGTATTCCATCTCACAGACTTAACCACAGTTTAATCATTTCCCTACTGAGTACAGCTGAACTGTTTCCATGTTCTGGATATTCTAACATTTAATATGGTTTTTGTGTGAAAATAAATAGTTCATTGAATAAATACTCAGCGCTGCATGGATACTGCATGCTTAATTTTTTTTAAGCATACATTATTTGCAGAAGGAGGGTTTCACTGTAACATATGTATGCATGCATCCTGGTCAACCTCATTACCTCTTACTACTCTCCTTTATCCTACTCTCCCCTTCTTTAAACCATTTTCAACAGGTTTTATTGTTTTATTTTCATACATGCAAATAGACTACCTCATCCATATTCATTCTCATTTCCTCACTTCATTAGCCCTAACAGCCCCTGCTGGTATTCTCCCCTCCCCCACCACCCAAAAAAACCAGAGCCTGTTGGTTTTTTTCAATGTGTGTATTAATTGCACCAAGAGATTTCACCATGGTATTTCACACATGCATTTATATTTTGCTCAGAATAACACTATTAATTTCCCTCACTGATCAATAGTATGTTTAACTTATCAAGACACTGGTGTACTCTTATCCAGAGTTGCTTTGTAAAATGGTTTTTACATTCCCAATATATGAGATCCAGTTACTTGGCACCTTCACCATAGTATGGTACTATTATTTTTCATCTGCATTTTCCTAATAAATGAAGTTAAGCATCTTTTCACATGCTGATTTACCAACGGAGCAACTCAGACTTGTTTCATAAAATAATTTAGACCCCAGCAAACGTGGCTCATTCCTATAATCCTATTCAGAAGGCTGAGCTCTGAGGATTGCAGTACAAAGCAAGCTTAGGCAGGGAAGTCTGTGAGACTCTTACTCCAGTTAACCACTAGAAAACTAGAAGTAGTGCTGTGGCTCACAGTGGTAAAACACTAGCCTTGAGAGAAAAGGCTCAGGGACAGCACTCAGGCCTTGAGTTCAAGCCTCATGACTGACAATGACAATAATAATAATAATCACCATTATTATTATTATTTAGAAAAGGGAATACACATTAAAAAATTCTTTTCTAGAGTCATGCTACACAATTTTGTTATACTAAGAGTGTCTTAAAAAAATCGAAGAGAAATGAAACTCTGTTAAGGTAGTACATCTTCTTACTATTCTATCGGAGACTATTTATTGGCAACATAGAACAACCAAAGATTTCACATTCTGTAAAGTATGTTTACAACAAGCTTTGTTTGTTTGGCACAGTAATTAAACAACATCCAAGAAGTCAATCTTTATATGATCAACTAACTAATGGTGGCAATGTAAAAATGAATTTTGGTACATTCTATGGAAAAAAAAATCAGTTGTCTTTTTAAAAAATATTGAAAAAGACTAACTTTTAATCATCAACATTTAGTCATAAGTCTTATAAAAACATAAATATAGAAAAAATTTACTTCAACTGGAACATAAAATCCATACTTAAACATAAGTACATCTACTTAAGATTGATTTAAATTGCTATGGTTAGGACTGTGCTATTATATATACAGATCTATTCTGGAAATGCTGGCTGCTAAGTGTAGAAAAATACAAGCTGTTTAGTAACTAGTTTCTCCTGGTAGATATAAGACATGTCTGTTTATGAAGACTGGGAAAACAAAGGGTAAATGATAAGCAGTAACCTTCCGATAGGGTCACTGTAACAACACCTGGAGAGAAGCTTTCTTATGGGCTCATCTATGGAAGAGCAGCTGATGATCAAATGCATGCAGGGATATGTGGAAGAGTTTTCTCTTTAACATAATCTATCACTACTAAAATGTATTCCTACAAAAATAAACAAAAATGAAAACCAAAGAACTAGCATTCCATCCTAACCTTTTGCTCACAGCAGTTAGTGATACGCTAAGGAAAACCAGTCCTGTATTCTTCAACAAAGAGACATGCAGACTTGGTTACCTAGTTATACATTCCAGCGTGACCTAAACTAAACTCCTCCAAGATAACAATATTATATCCTGTATTTGATGAGGACTTAGTATTTTTCAACTTTATCAAACATTCCTCATTTGATCCTCAAAGAGACACTGCAGGTTATGTAAGGACAATATTATTAACTTTATTTTATATTTCAGACTGAAACAAGGTTTTTCATTACTGCTGACTAGAACTCACTTCCATCTTTACTCAGTTCCAAATTTCTCTATCATCTCCTCACTCCACTACTTAAATTATAGGGCTATCATCTGGTGTCCCTGAGGACAAAAGATGAAGAGCTGAATATAACTTGCTCAAGTTTTTCTGTGATAAAAAGTAGCAAACAGTTGAGTGCCACAGATAAAAGATGATAAGCCTTGACAAAAAAAAAACAAAACAAAACAAAAAAAAAACTCTGCCATTCTTGGGAGAAGATTCCCTCAATCACTTAAATTCAAATAAATTCCTTGCTTTTATGTCATTCAATTTTTTTCCATCACAGCAAAATTTTTATTATTTTATAAACTACTTTTAAAATATTTTGTAAAATATGAATTTAAAAAAACACACGAAGCAGAAAACAAGAGCAGCACAAGGAGCAACCCAGACCATCTTTTAAGAGCACGACAAAATAGATGGTCCATCAAGGTCATATGATTTCTCTGAAGTTCAGACAATCCATAAGAAATGCTAACAGTTGCACTTGTGAAATTCACTGCTCTCAGATCCTCAGTGGAGCAAGAATCCCAAATGTCTCTTCAGCTATAGGACAAGTTTCTTTCAATTCCTGTAGATTACAAATTCTTTCTAAA